TATTAGTTCAGTATCATCATTGATTTGTTCCTGAGTCCTTGGGCTTTCAAGCTTTTACATTCAATTTTAGCGAGAGATTTGAGACCCGAGAATATTAAGCTATGGCAAGCAAATAATTTCAATATTCCTTTAAGATGAAAAAGTATTTCTTAAATATTTTTGTTGCTATTATAGTATGGTCAATATAAGTGCAGCATTATCTCCATGTCTGAAATAGTGTTCATATATTATAGAATGGTGCTTCTTAAACTTTTCCACTTGCAACCCTTTTCCAGCTAAGATTTTTTTTTACAAAACCCCAGGTATATATGTATATAAAATAGGTGTAAAAATCAAACATCTCCTGATAATCCATCAACATTGGCAAGGCTTGCTAAGCAGGCTGATTTTTCTCTTTATGAAATACAACTGAAGCAATTTATGCAGAATCCATTGTAAACACTTTATTGTAAATTGTTGCTGACATATTTCTGTAAATATCGAGATAGTATTCAGAAACCTTTTACTGTTGCCAAATTTTTCATGATTCCAACATTGAGCTAAAGGGACCCCTTTTGGGATTGGGCCCCAGAGTTTAAGAAGCAGTGATCTACATTAGTGGTTCTCAAAGTGTGCTCCGCAGAGCCCTTGTGCCTCCACGAAGCATACTGAGAGGTTCTGTGGTTCCCTTCTCTTCCTCCATCTTCAAGCTTTCCCTTCTCTTTCCTGCTCCTCCCCTCTTCTACTTCCCTTACAACTAAAAACCTTTTTCCCTCAGCCCCCTCTCACCAAAAGCCCTAGTTGCCAAAGACCTTTTTACCTTGCCTTTCTCACTGCCCAGATCCTTTCCCCCTTACTTTCCTTGCTTCCAAAACCCTACTTCCCTCCCAATGTTCAGGGGGTGCTTTGATTGTGCATTTCCTGCATGGCAGAAGAGGGTTGAATTGGATGGCTCCTGGGATCTTGCACTGAAATACTGTGAAGTTTATGTTGGTTACAAGTGTTCTTCAATTTAAATATGTATTGTTATTTCTTTCCTCCCCCCCCCCTTTTTTGCGCATTACAAATGAAATATGTGCAGTATGCATAGGAATTTGATCATTTTTCCAATCAGTTCATACAAACACTATTTTGCTTCAAAAAGGGCTCTGTGGCTGAAAAAGTTTGAGAGCCCCTGATCTAGACAACTGCTTCCTATTCGTGATCAATATTTCGTCATGATTGCAACACTTTGGTACATTAATAACTACCCTTCTCCTCTGTCAAATTTTGGGGGGCATCTCCTGCATGTAGAGAAAGACAGCAATTCTGCTGGTGACCAGAGCACAGATATATGACATTTTTTTGTCAGGTTTGGAAGCACCTAAGCCAGGAAAAGTTACTTGGTTAAGTCTACTCTCCCAAACCTGTATAAGTATAAATATAAGCACATGCATGCCTCTATTAACATAGCCTGTCAAGGATGTTTATTTTTACAAAGTTGTTTAATGCCTGCCTAACTACCGCTTTCCTCCTCATCCTCTATTATACATATGAAGAGAATGAAGAAGGAGGAATGAATAATAAGACATTTGGTGTCAGGTTGCAGAGCTCATCTGCAGGAAATAGTGCAATAAAGCTTGAACTGAGAAGGTGGTGAGTGATTTCAGCTCTGCAAGAACTGTGGGTTTGGAAGCCCGGCATGTCAAGCTCTCAAAAAGGCTGTATAGGGTTAGGGTTAGGGTTAGGGTTAGGACAGGACAAAGGCAAAGAACAGAGGTGTTTATTCACCTTGGCCAAAGCAGATGTGAGCAGAGTTCTGTGCTCCAAAGCTGAAAGGACTTTGCCATCCTGGTGACTGATTGGTCCAGATCATGGCTGGCTAGTATCTGCAGGCTGTTTAGCTGGGATGCACTGTCTGCTGTTGTTGCTGATTGATCTCCAGGTTTGGAGGGAATTTTACTGAATTGCCATTACTCAGTTTGAGGTTTTGTGGCTGTTGCTGTTCTATCTCTCATGGAGTGTGCGAAGAAAATAATGTGTGTGCGAAGAAAATAATAAGGTAATGGTTGCCAATGATGGTAGTTTCCCAGCCTGACTGAGGACAATGACCTATGCTGCTGAAGCAATGGGAAACAATGGGAACCCTGAATGGGTTCCTATGAGAAGAACAGATGTGTTAGCAAATTTCCATGAGCTTTTGTTTATCTCCATTGTTAGGGCAATATGCCTACTGCCTGAAGGGGTGGTGGGGTTTTTATTTTTCTATCCTGGTGAGTGATTGTGAAACTTGTATGTCCAGGCTAAAGGTAATCTGTGGAGGTTAGCTCAAATTAGGTTTGTAGGTGAAAGGTCATCTTAGACTTGGCTTTCCATGGTTGCAGGGTTTGGAGTCCTCCCTGGGGGTCCAGGGTTTTGATAACAAAACAAGAGATTACATTCCCCTTGATCCTATTGTAGCTGTATGCACCTGCCTACAGCATGCAAGGTAAAAACCATCTGCCAACAGAATCCTTTACTGAGACTCTGTGAGGATCAAAACAGAAAGAAAAGGGAATACTAGGTTGCCTCTCCACATGTTTTCAGCATGTTGAAAATATCACTGATCTATAAGTTTCACTGTGAAAACATAAATAATAAAACAACATGGGATCCTATTAAAACAAAAGTCATCCCTGGATATATTTTGGGGAAAACCTTCAAGTGGTCTCAAGAAAATTCAGAATGTTTTGACCTACTTATGAGTGATTTACTTAACATTTTTAATTCATGTCACATGTTAGTTTTTAATGAAAAGTTTGCTGAAATGTGTTAGAGCTTTTTATTAGTGCTGGAATGTACTCTTATTTCCCCCTGCCAATTCTGCTTCTGGTACCCAAGTTTAAGAAATAATGCCAAGACACATCTGCTTCATTAACTGAGGGTATACCTGGAGTATACTGAAGCTGATGTAATATAGTGGATCTCCACATTTGTGGTTTCAATTTTTGCAGATCAATTTTTCATGGATTTGATTAATATGGTCCCTCTAGGTCTTGCTGTGTGACTGTATGGTCAACTTCCAGCAGACATTGACCACAGAATCACTAAAGATTCCTAGAAAGATGTTGTTTCATGTCAAACAAATAGCATTCTATTTGTTTTTTTCTCTTTATGGGAGTTCTGTGCCCCTAATGTGAAGGACTGATTTTATATTGGTAATATACAATAACAAATGGATGAGTAATTCCTAGAGAGAGCTATCTCTTTGAAGATCTCTCCTTATACCTCACTTCTGATCATAAAGATAGACACCAGTTGTGACAATTCTCATATTGTGCTGTTGTTGCAAATAATATATTTAAATAAATGTCTGTTCCAGTAATTTTAATTTTTTATCCTGGACATTGACATATCTGTGATATGATCCCATCAAGAATAAGTACTCTGTATTCCCACTGATTTCACTGTAGATTTAAGGATATTCTTAAATCTCACTAACTGACAGCAATGGTATTTAAATATCCTTAACTTTAGTGATACCTTCAAATCCCTACAAAAACCCTTTGCTCAGCAAATTATAATTCTTGTCTGCACACCCAGAAGTATCATTTTGTTAAACTCCACTTATATTATATTTTTAAATTTTAGGTGCATTAAAGAATTCTATAGCAACTCTGGCCTATTTTATCATGTTAAGTGTACCTGTCCGTTGCTCCAAGGAAAAAAGAAATTGTGTCTGTTGATAGCAGTAAAATAAATGGTGCTGAGAATTGTATTCACTAAAAGTTGATTCTTCCTTTTAAAAAGAACATTCCAGCATTTTGCACCACATCACTTTTTAAAGAAACAAAGATATCTTGTTGTAACACGAGGAGAATTAAAAACTCTTAAAAGACACATTGACCTACCTAAAGCAAATCACAAATATTTATAAAATCTCATTGACTTTAAAGGAAAATTGTTGTGCATGAGAAACCAATTATTTTGATAATATATATAATATATATCCAGAACTGGATATGGAAAAGATAACATTTAATTAAAGTGGCATACTTTAGATTTTAATAAATAATTTCCATATAATAGTGTTTTTTCATGGATTTGCCCAGTTTGCTTCTTTCTAGGATCATATGCAGAACCAGATCTAATATTTCATGAATGGGAGAAATATGCCTCTCTTTTTTTGAGGTGGGGGGTTACATGTATAAAATTTTATTGTTGATCTTATTAATTTTTTTATGTAAATTACCTTGAGGGTAGCATAAAACTATCTAACATAATTCAAATCTGGATCAGAGGACAAATATGCACTAATAGTGCATATAACCATGTTCAAAGTTTGTTCGGTGGATATACTGAATATATGGTGTTGAGTATCACATTTGAAAATTCTTTGATTTTTAAAGCCCTCTTTCATTTTTCATTTTTCATAATATTTTTCTACATTTGGTGAGACTTTCTGTGCATTTTGGGATGATAAAAGAACAAACACCATTAATACTTGAAGACTGGAGGGCCTGGTGAGCTAATGAGGGGACCTGGGGTCTACAATAGTTTAGTCAAAGGGTTGCATGCAATCTATACACTGCACTTTGCTTTAAAGGAAGTATCCAAGGTCCTGAACCAATTTTGGATATGTGACTCAGGACCTTAGATAGTTCTTCTAATGTTTGGATTAACCCTCAGAGTGGATTTTGTCCTGCTTACATGGTAATCATTAGTTATCACTGATTAAAGAGTTTTAATCCTCAAAGGTCTAAACAAAGCTCAAGCTACCTGTAAATGAAAAAATAAAAATAAAATGGATCTCATTCTTGAAACAGACTGAATTCCACAAAGGCCTGAGAAAACATCTGAAAGAATTTTAACAGACTATAAATAATATAAGAGCTGCCTTTTTATTTTGAAAGTGAATTTCCCAGATCACAGGAAAGTCAGAGAATTTTTATTTATCCATTGTCTTGAAAAAAAATCATTTACCTTTGCTCCTTGACCATGTGTAGAACATATCATCTCCTAAAGCTTGTTTTCATTAATTTGTGTTTTTTTAACACTTACAGACTTGAATCGCCAACTAGATCTTTGATAATGGAAGCTCCAAAAGGAATACAAGTGAGTGCAGCTGCAGGGGACATTAAAGCCACCTGTAGAAAAGAGCTTCACTTGCAATCTACAGAAGGGGAGGTAAGCTTAACTGCAAATTCATGACACCAACATTGTGATGGATAATAAAGAATGAATACTAAGGTTCATTGCTGCATATGTGTCTTCTCTGCATTAAAATACTCTTTCCAGTCTACCAAGAAGCTTTGGTTTCTAGTGGTCTTGATCATATCAATAACACAACCCAACAATTAAAAAAAAACAGATCTTGGTGTTTTCATTGTTAGGCCTGCTCCTGGGCTTAGTTGGGGTGCTGATTCAGAAGTTGCACTGAATAGATCACATCAGCTCTAGTTTCCTATATATGGTTATCATTATTTTCTATAGATGAGCAAAAGAAGGCTGGTTATCTGTTCTCTATCTCAAAAACTAGAGCTGATTGGGAAAAACCAATGCCATTTTTGGAATCAGCAAGCCAAAAATATAGAAACAGGTCTAACATTTGAGGCACCAAAATGTGTGTTGACTAGTGTAACATATTAATAGTCAAGGGGTATTTAAACTGAAAGATGGGAAATGCAAATTGTTTTAGGGCATGGCATATTATATTGTTCTTTTCAAACTTTTAGTGAACTTCAGTACACTTTATCAAATGCTGTTATCCTGATGCACACTAATATACAAATCTAATTTCTACATTAGAGATAAAAATGCATCTCCTCCTTTCTTCCCTAAGTGGAACTGATAAATGAGCTACAGCTAAATCAATGTAGCCCAAGAATACAGAGTTATGTAATGCTCTTCATTTTCAAAGCCTTTCACAAACTTTGATGTATGTACGCACTATGCCCTAGACTTCAGCTTCATATCAATATTTAACCACCAGCCCAAAACATTTATTGAATTGGAATGATGACTGGTTGGACTGTACAAAGAGAAGCTTTGTTGTCATCACACCTCTGTGGAATCATAACATTTTCTATTGGCATGAGTGCAAGAGTGTGTCCCTTGGAAAGAGTTGTCCTATTTGCAACTAATAGTTAAATATTGATGCTACTGTGAGCCTTTGAGAACAATTAAAGAAAAAGAAAAACCAAAACTATTATTGCTGCCATTCTAAAAATCATGAAAGCATCTGTAGAAACTTGCATTTGTAAACTATTTGCTCTGATGTCTCCAAAGACAAACAATATTCTACAACTAGCACCAGTGAAAGGGACCATTTTGCCAGTGAATCAGTCAGCAATTTCAAGATGTTGGGATGACAAGTAGGAATCCCAAATGTCAAGTGGATATTAGCTTTTCGAAATGACCTGTGACAACCCCTGGAGGTCACACTAAGTCACAAAATAGATTGAATCTGTACCAAAAACATTATTGTATTACTAGAAACATAAGGGTGAGCATTATTTAACAGTTAAGCATGTTTATTCCATCCTCATTTAGGATAGGCATGGCAAGCTTTCCGTGGCTTGACATGTAAATGAATATAATCTCTTTTTTTTTCCTTTCAAAATTTAAATCAATCTAAAGGCTGAGAAAAATGTGATTACCTTCCCCAAATCCTGCATCCCCTTCTCTCATTTACCATTAAGGTTGCTAGGCCAAGATAATCCCAAACCCTTTGCTTTCAGGGCCAAAACCTGAGATGTAAGAATGCCATGGGCAATGTCACCAGGGATCATATTAGTGTAACAAACTAATATAGATAATTGTACTGCAACTTCATCCACTTGTAGGAGGGTGAGGAAAATTGATGGAAACCCTGGAAACATTTCTTAAAAATTTAAAATAAGAGAAGAAAAAACACAACACAATAACCCTGTAGTAACATTATGGATGACTCTTGGGAAAGTGAATACTGAAGTACCTCAAAGCTTTTCTGAAGTGACTGCTGTTTCATGCTGAACACTACCATCTCATCATACTAGTTTTTTTTTTGCCCCTTGCTCCTCTTTGGGGACGAGGCCAACCAAGTGCCATCAGATGACATTGGTTTGGCCTCACCCCCATTCATATCTGAAGTGTCAAAGAAGTGTCGCAAGACACTTTCTCACCTATAACAGAGAGGTAAGTGGGTTTTGGGTAGCTCCCATTGAGCTCCCTGCATTTTTGGTGACTTTCCCCCATTTTATGGGGGAAAGGCCAATGTGGAAATGCACGTTGCTGCACTTTCCCCATCTAACAGGGACAGGGACTGGGTGGGCACACACCTGTTGTCCCCATCTAATGCGGGAAGGAAGGACAGTGTGCAGGATGATGCAATTGCCAACCAAATGGAACAAAATTGTGAAGAGGTCCCTAGTGGCAGCTGCTTGGAGAAACCGTAACAACTGAAGTCCACACCACAGAGTTTTTAAAAATCCAGAGGTCTTGCTCTAGAATTATTCAATTTGCCTGAGACCTGATTGATACGAAGTGGACCCTGAGGCCCACTAATGTACTGAGTGACAATGGTGGAATCAGAATGAGAGGAGAGAGGCTGATTCTTTTTACCCCTCTTCCCTTTGAATCATAGATTTGGACATGGTTTTATGAGCCATTGAGTTGATTTACTTTCTCACTGCAAAATATCCAGTGGTTAACTGTCTATTCTTTTTTCTTTTTTCTTTTTCTTTCTTTCTTTTTTTTGGAAGACCTTCAGAAAAAGAGACCACCAAAAATCTAGGCGATTGGTTCCATTGCCAAACCACTCTTACTCTCAAGACATTGCTACTAAACATGAATCAAAATCTCCCCTCCTATAACTTTACATTTTTAGAGCTGGTTCTACTTCCTACTGCAGTAGACAATTATGCATCTTCCTCCTCTCTGTGACAAGACTAGATTTATTTAAAGAGTGCAATCATGTCACCTCTCAGTCTTCTTTTCACCAAGATGAACAAGTCCAACTTCAGAGTTTCCTCATATGTTTTACTCTCTTTAGATCTTATCAGTCTTGTCACCTTTCCCTGATTTTCCAACTTGTTCACATCTTTCTTAAAATGAGGTGCACAGAACTAAACACATGTTCCAGATGTAGTACTGATGAACCATGTATCTCCAATCCTATACATTGGGTTTTTGTGAACCAAATATAGAAATTTGTATTTGGCTGTACTTAATTTCTTTTTATTGATTTTTCCCAATTTTAAGTTTTTCAAGATCCTTCTGAATTGTGTTCATATCTTCCACCTACCTCTTCCACTTTTGTATTTTCTGTAAGCTTGATAAGGAATCCCTCCAAACTATCATCTAAGTCACTGATAATTTTTTCAAAAGAGTAATGGTCCTAGAGAATCCTGAGGCACTCCACTCAAGAGCTCCTTTCAGTTTAAAGTATAGCCATTGATTATGACCCTGTGAACACAGTTTGCCAAACAATTATGGATTCATCTGACAGTGTTTCCATCTATTTCATATTTAATCAGCTTGCTAATCAAAAATTTATAGGTGACCTTTTCAAGTGCTTCACTGAAATCTAGCTAAACGACACCCCCACCATTCCAACAATCTACTAAACCAGTAACCTGTTTTTTTAAAGTGTGAGATTAATTTGGCAGGATTTTTTCTTAATGAATTCATCCTAGCTCCAAATGATCATTACATTATCATTCAGATACTTTCAGGCAGATTTCTGCATCACCTAAGATTTCTCAAAAATGATAGCGAGTTCTTCTGTGAGTAGATAAGGAAGTTCCTTCAATACTCTGCAAACAACGTGTTTCTAAAAAAACGATTTTCTAAAAAACTGAAAATGAGTAAAACCAGAAGTGACTGATTTTGCATCCTTATTTTTTTTTACCTCGCATGGAAATCAGAGCAAATAAGCTTTACTGCAGTCCAGAAATTCCATCTCACCATCTTTTTGAAACTATAATCAACTGAAGTGTGTTGTCCTTATAACAATAGATAGTTCTTGATATTGAATTTAGAGATCCAGCTGCTCTGAGCTCCGCAGGGAAGGAAAGGCTAGTGACCTTCATTTAGCAGCACAACCTCATTTCTCCCCTTGACTGAACTCAGAGCAGTAGCTTCTTTTAGGGCCATGTTGTCTAGCACTTTAAACACAATTCCAAAGGCCTATGGAAAAAAAAACAGGATTCACACACACAAAATACAGGAATTAAGAAAAAATAAAAATTTTAAATAATGATATTTTCCATGTCTGATTTTTAATGAATATCCATGTTTTGAAGTACATAGAGATTGCTATGACATTTTTTAGAGCGGTACATTGGGGTAAGATAGGGAGTCAAACACAAGAGTGCCTAGTGTGTTGTTAAAGGCTTTAATGGCAAGAATCGGTAGGTTTCTATGAGTTTTTCAGGATGTATGACCATGTTCCAACAGCGTTTTCTTCTAACATTGGATTATGTGATTTTAGTATTTTTAATGTTGAATTATTTTAGTTGTTGTTTTAATGCATATGTATGTGTTTTATTTGCTGAATATGTGTTGTAGGGCATTGAATTGTGCCTTTACGTGCACACATTCGGGGTGAGAAGGGTGCAATATAAATATGGCAAATAAATAAATAAACAAATAAAATTTCACCTGCATCTTTGGCTGGCATCTTCAGAGGTTCTGTAGGCAGTGAGGCAAGTGAAGTGTATATATACCTGTGGAATGTCCAGGATGAGAGAAAGAGCCCTTGTCTGTTTAAAGCAAGTGTGAATGTTGCAATTAGCAAGCTTGATTAGCATTGAGTAGCCATGAAGCCGAAAAATAAATCGGTGAGGGTATCTGCATAGAGGTAGCCTGGCCTTCATTGCCTAGAAGCATTCTTCATTTGGGAGGTGTTAGCTGGCCATTAATTGTTTATTGTCTGGAGTTCTCCTGTTTCTCAGTTGTGTTCATTATTTACTGTTTTGTTTCTGGTGTTTTAAATATTCATTTAATTCATTTTCGTGGTTTCTTTCTATTGAAAGTGTTCATGTGCTTATGGATTTCAATGGTTTCTCTGTGTAGTCCGACATAATGGTTGTCAGAGTGTTCCAGCAATTCTGTGTTCTCAAATAATGCTCTGTGTCCAGGTTGGTTCATCAAGTGTTCTGCTATAGCTGACTTCTCTGGTTGAATTAGTCTGCTGTACATTTCATGTTCTTTGATTCTTATGTGGGCGCTGCATTTGGTGGTCCCTGTGTAGACTTGTCCAGAGCTGCAAGCATGGCCGTAGCCAGAGGGGGGAGGGGTTAAGGGTTCACCCACTCTCCCAAATGTGTCAGGTTAAAATAAACCTGGTTCACTCATGAATTGGTTAACCAGTTAAAATTCATGAGTAAACCATCGTTTTTTAAAAACCTGACACATTTCGTGGGGGGGGGATTGAGCCCTTAACGCCCCCCCCCCCCCCCCCCCCCCGTATGCCCATGCTGCACAGTATATGGTAGACTCCTACAGTAGTTAGAAGATCCCTCTTATCCTTTGCTGAATGTAGCATTTCTTGAATTGTCTTAACGGGTCTCTAGATTGTTTGTAGCTTGTGTTTCTTCATCAGCTTCCCTATGTGATCAGTGGTTCACTTGATATATGGTAAAAACATTTTTCCTCTAAATGGATCTTTGTCTTTACTCCCATGGTTTGTCCTTGGTCTTGCAACTCTTTGGCTGTCTGTCATAAAATACCCATTAGCCCGTAGAGCCTAGTTTAGGTGGTTAAGTTCACTTTGGAGGAGATGGGGTTCACAGATCCTGTTTGCATGGTCTACCAAGGCTTTAATTGTACTTCTATTTTTGACGTGGATGATGATTGGAGTTTTTATGTATCTATCAGTGTGCATAGGTTTTTTTGTAAACTGTGAGGCACAATCATTGATTTAGTTTGAGGATGACTAGGACATCTAGAAATTGTTGTTTCCTTTCATTTTCTTTTTCCATGGTAAAATGAATATTTGGGTGGATGCTGCTGATATCGTCCAGGAACTTGTTTAATTCTTCTTCTTCATGGCTCCAAATGGTGAAAGTGACATCCACATATCAGAACCGCATAGTGGGCTTTTTGGTGCTGTTTCCAGGGCTTATTCCATGTAAAATTTGCTATGACAGGGCTAAGAGGGCTCCCCACGACTACTTCATCTTTCTGTTCATAGAATTCATTATCCTTCTGGAAGTAGCTTGTAATGAAGCAATGTTGAAACAGGGCTGTGATGTTTTCTGGGAAATTCCAGTCAATGAGTGTGATGGTGTTTACTATGGGGACCTTGATGAATAGAGACACCACATTGAAGCTGATCAGTTTAAACAATTTAAACAGGCAAGGGCTCCTTCTCCCACTCTGGGCATTCCACAAATATATGTATACACTCTACTGCTTCATTGCCAACAGAACCTCTGAAGATGCAAGCCACAGGTGCAGATGAAACGTTAGGAGAGAATGCTGCTGGAATATGGCCATACAGCCCAAAAAACTCACAGCAACCCAAGAGTGTCTAGTACCTACAAAAACTTTTATATGACCCTGGGTTCATTATGGTCTCAATTATCCTTTTCCACCAGTGGGAAGACACAGAACTGTGTTTGCAAAACAATGTACACATGTAGGCTCTCAGCCATTTAATATCTATGCACTCATTAGAGTATGTCATATATATTTGAAGTGACCTTTCTTTTCTTTCTTCTCCTTTCTAGATATTTTTAAATGCAGACTCAATACGACTAGGGAATCTACCGTTGGGTTCATTTTCATCTTCTTCCTCTTCTCAAGGCTCTTCGGCTACTCGACAGACTATCTATGAGCTTTGTGTTTGTCCCAATGGTAAACTGTACCTTTCTCCAGCAGGAGCAGGCTCCACATGTCAGTCCAGTAGCAACATTTGTTTGTGGAGCTGAAAGAACTCCTGACCTCTCCTCGCACCAGAATAGCCTTTTCGTTACTGTCCCTCTCTTCACAGTTGTGCTCGGTTTCCCTCGTGCAGTCATGAAACTCCAAACAGACCACAGAATAACCTCTTCCAATGTAAGCAAGGAATAAAATACAGCCTTGTCTGGCATATGGACATTCAAGATGGAAGAAGGCAGAAGGCAATCAAACGGTTGCCTTCATCAGGAAACCTGGATCTTCATATCAAATATTGTCCAAAAGGGAGAATAACACAGGTGCCTTTGCTATATATGAAGTGAAGCACATTGTTTTAGGTTTTTGCAGGAACTGTAAATGAGAAACTGCACATATATACATAAATATAGATAAATAGATATAGATATAATAACTATATAAAATTGCCCAGAGTCTAAAGGTGAGATTAATTGGTATGATAAATAACTTTATTGTCTGAAAGCACAATTTTCATATGCCCATCACTTTTGGATGTAAACTTTTATCCCTGAATTTTTAAAAAAATGTTAAAGCATTGTATAATGCTTGCTCTACTAAACAATTAAAATGTAATTCACATTCTGAACAGCAAGAGACAGGATCCCTCCTTTAAGAAGAAGGAGGAGGAGGGAAAGTGCATTGTTATTGTCTCCATCTAATTTTTTAAGATTGTGTTGATATTTTTGAAGCACTTAGTGATTTAATATATTCAGACAAAAATAACACCATTTAAAAATTCTTGTTCAGCCTTTGAATGATTATCTAAATACTGCACATAAATCATTTGGGGTTTTTTTAAGCAAAGGCAATCTTGGGCCCAGAGAATGATGTACAAGCACCAGACATGGCAGGAAAGTTGAGGGTAAATGAATCCTTGAACCTGGTCAGTAACGTGGAAGGAAGATCACTAAGAGCTCCATGACAAATTAGGATATAAGTATAAAAAACTGGGGCTGTAAATCTTTACTTCCTTCTCTCCCTCATACTATAATGAAACGAAAACTTTTTCTCTCTGCTGGGCAAGGTTACGGGGTGTTTTTTACACATTTAATTTTAGTAATTTTTGTGATTTTCTGTGAAAATTTCACAAAAATATTTTTGCAAAAAAAAAATTTGCCCCAAAACATGAGCATTCTGCAGATTTGGCTCTGACTGGTTCAGCTCAAGTAGATACATTAAATCAACTGTTGAATGGTGAGTCAACATGTAAGATAAATGCAATTGATCTAATGGGTCTACTCTAGTTGGGAACAACATAAGGATGTAGGTCACCAATTTTTTTACAAAACTCACATTAATTTCATAGAATGGTTCTTGGTACATTTTTGTTCAAATCCTTCTCCACCAAAACTAGTATTTTTGTTCTCACAAAAAAGGTGAAAGCAGTGTGTCTCAGTGTGTTAAGAGTGAATACAAACAAAATCACAAATACTCTTTATAGTTTCCAAGTAAATCCATTCTGTTTTTTTAAAAAATATCAATAGAGTTGGAGAATAACTGTGAGAACAGGCCACTGAAGAATTTATCATCATAGACAAATAAATAATCAGTTAGATACTTTTTTCTTTGAAACTATAGTGTTTTATAATGGGGAAAAGAGCCATGCCTTATTCTGGTATCCAGTGACTATACAAGGAGCTCCAGTGTGCAGTGGAGAATGCAAATCCATGCACACATAAAACATTTATTCGTTAAAATGTTCTTGAGAGCAACACCATGACAAATTTTTGGACTCTAAAATAGAGGTCAGATTTAAACAACACAATTCAGACGTGAGGCATCATGTGCTTTGACAGTCAGTTGGAATGTTGCGCACATAGTCAATCATTTGTTATCTGTCCTGGATTATGAGGCAATTTAAAGAGGTTCACAGAAGGAAAATTCCCTCTCTTTTCTGCAGCCATCTGTACATCCCAAAACCCTATCTGGGGTGTGACTGATGTTGCACATTGTAGGATAGTACACAGTGAATGCAGAAATGACTCCAAATTGGTAGTGGAGTCTATTTCCAGAAGCCTTTGTAATATATTGAACACTGTTTGGGAATGTATTCTCAAATTTCTGGAAGAGTTTGGGGAATTTAGATGACTATAGCAGAAAGAAGAGTGGGAAACTTTATTTCTCTTGGCTTTCTTAAAGTAACTTGCTTTAACATCATTAAATGCTCATGAGTCAATGTTGAATAAAAGAAAGGCAGGGGGTAACAGATTACTTTTTTAGGTTGTCTCACCTAGTTTTGTTTACCAAATTTACTCACCTGGTCATCACAATGTCATTATGGGAACTGAATGGTAAAAAAATTAAGTTGATGAGATGCTAAGGCATTTGGGAAAAAAATCTACTTGTTAAAGTACATTGAAATATTTATCATTAAGACTATATTCTCAATGTCATGTTTTTCCTGTTGTAACTAGTGATTGGAATGCAAAACTGGGTGACATGTTACTCTAGAGTCTTTCCTGACACCTTGGAGGTTACCTCCCTACCCCTCTCAAATACAGTAATACACAGAGCTTGAAGAAATTACTTTTTGACTACAACTTGCAGAATCCCCCAGTCAGAAAGGTCAGTAAGTTTTCCAAACTTTAAATGTAGAAGATACAAAATTTAGAAGGAATCACAAAGGAATTGTCTTTTTTATCGGTACAATCCAAATGATTTATTTTTATTGAATGTAAATCATCTTGAGGTAGGAATGCAAAACTTTCATTATTTTTTCCTCACATACTGGGACAAATAAATGCCATAGTTTTCTCTCTGCTATGGGAAAATTAAAGTTCTCCTGCAGTATTCTCCACATCTTCAAATGTCCCAAAGTGTGGTGAAGAATTAATTCCTGTAGAACTTGTGGAGCTTTTGAGCAAATAAACTTTTCCTTAACAGGAAATAGTGGCTTTAGCACAGAAAACAGGGTTTTTCCACATGTTTTTCTATGAAGAATAATTGCTTCACAATGTTTCAGAGTGCTCGAAATACTGAGAAAACACTCTGTGTGTCCATTATTCTTTTAAAGGGTTTTCCCAATGTTTAGGAATTCTACCTTTTCATTTGGTAATCAAAAATAATACATTGGGGATTTTGTTTCCCTTGGAAATTTGATTCAGAGAAAATTGATGGTGACATGTAAATCAATCCAGAAACTGCATAGTGGCCCAATTCAGCATAAAAGGGAACCATATATTTATGAGTTACAGTTAAGGCTGCATCTCAAGTGCTTCTTCTTCTGTTTCCTCTCACTTTGCCTCTTAGAAGGACTTTAGATGCATCTATCCCTGGTTTCAAGCCCACAGTGACTTCTGCAACATTAAACACTGGGGTGTATGAGATATCGATATGGCAAATCAGGATGTGGAGATGTTCTTTGGTCTTTAGTTCATCTTAGTATCTGTGAGCAATAAGGAACTCTGTTTACTTTGAGATGATTTAGGCTACCAATATCACCATCCCTAGCTATTGGCCATGGCACCTTACTTAAAGGTGTAATTTAAACAAAACCCAAAGTTTGAATGTTGCATGGAATTTATTTTGCATTAAACCATGAACAAAAGCTTGTAATGCCCTGAGGAAAAGCAGGTGGAGACGAAGAAGGATTCCACAAACCTAAGGCTTGATGCAGCTTGTTGACAACCTGGGAAATCATGGATTACTCTCACATCTGAACTTAATCCAACTGTTGTCCAAATATCTACAATGATACTGTTTCTTTTGTTAATGAGTTTATTCATACAAACAAAAAAAATCCTCATGTGAAATCATAGCTGGCAAGGAAACTGTAACTCAATATAATCATTTGATTAGAAGAACAATATTGGTGTGAACGTTGAGGAAATCTTTGGATCACTGGATGAAAAAAATGAATCACTATATAAGTTAATGATGTTTAAATGGGTGAGTCCTTCTCTATATGTTTTCCTTTTGTTTTGTTTTTTTGTCTGTGGGCCTTATTGTTCATTTTAAAGTAGCCATTGTGCAGTTGAAAATAAGTAATATGTGTACAAAGACTGTTCTCCCAGACAATCAAAACTACTGTGGCAACCAGAAAGGTGCCTGCTTGCACTGTCAGAGCAGCAATAGCTTGTTACTCAAGCCAAATTACATGGAAAATCATTTGGCTCAACAACAAAGCCAAATCAGTTCACAGGCCTACCCAGAAGTTTCTATGTTGTACTTATATAATCTGTACACCATCAAATTGCTGTCACAGGAACCTCCAATGAAACCTGAATGTGTGCCCTGTTGAAAAGTCTAACTCTGTTGAAAGTAGTTTGAGCAAAGTCAGAAGACTCCAAATGATAAAGAACAGCTGAAAGGGATTTGGAAATGGGGAAAAATAGTTGGGGAGGAATGTCATTTGTTTGTTGCCTGGTGTCCTGAACGTTTCCCCTATGACAGCAGAATATGTCATATATCACAGCAATGTTTTATTGAATCTATCCACTACAATGCAGTATATATTTCCAAAGACCATTCTGCAGTCATGGGTAGTGAGATACAGGGATGTGTATTTATGCATTTATGCATCTCTTCTAATGACATCTAGCCATATGGCAGCCTCTGAAAACTATAGATATTTTTCAGTATTTCTAACTATGTTTAGTGAGACTTGCCTGCAGCTTCCTAGGATAGAGCATAGCCAGCCTTCTTACTTGACTCTCATAATCATTCAGAAATCTGTGAAAACATGGTTTATGGGTAGGTTGGACTTGCACCATCATGAAAAATGGCTGACTTTCCATGTGATTAAAGTCAACAAATAGACTAAAACTTGAAGCAGTTGCTGGAAAGTACTACCTAGCACCATCAATGGATGACTAGCTAGTAATAGGTGGTAAGAACTGTACTTGTGAAGGTTTGTGTGCAACATAAAGGAAGTTGCTCAAAGAAGCAGATCTTGAACTGGTCACTGACCTTAATAAAGTCAACTTGACTTGACTTGACAAAGAAGCAGAACAGCATTCCTGGAAGAATTTGTCTAGTTCTATTCAATCACAGAATCCTATAGCATCTCCCCTCTTCATCTACTGTGGTTGGACAAATACTTCTTTCTTTACCTTGAACTGAATTTTGATATGGTTTAATTTAAAGGCTGAATTTATTATTTTACACATGAAGAACAAACACTAGGTGAAAAAGTTCAAACACTAGGTGAAAAAAAATCTCCAGATATACAAAAGATGGTGTGGGGTGAAATTAATGAATGAGATTAAAGATTAATTAATGAACACAAAATGCCTTCCCTATAAAGCAATTTAAAGCATTGCTGGCATTCTGTATTGCAGTTACAGATAAAAGAAATGTAACCAAGCATCACTTCCTGACCTGATGCTCCCTCATCTACCTTAAGAATCAGCTGCCAGATCACTCACTCCAAGCAGGGATTTCATCCTTTTTATGCCCCAATCATCTCCTTTAAGATTTAGGAGTGTCAACTGTTAAAGTGGGATGTGATTATTTAGGATTATCAAATACAGATTACTAATTTCAGTACTGGAGACCAGCCATGTTTGGTTACAAAGCAGGCATTAAAATACGGTAGCTTAATTACTGTAGCTTTCTGCTTGAATTGGCAGTGATGTTTTCTTGCATTTTTTTAAAAAAATATTCTCAACTTCTTTCAAACTAATTTTTTGGAGAAATATTTGAATTGTGATAAATTCTTACACTCCTACAATAATCTTCCCAATCCAAACAAAGTTCTTACTCATCTTTTGTATACTAACCTGGACACCTATTGTACTCACCAAAGTCTTCCATATTCTATTGTCGAAGGCTTTCATGGCCTGAATCACTGGGTTGTTGTAGGTTTTTCGGGCTGTYTGGCCATGTTCTAGAAGCATTCTCTCCTGATGTTTTGCCRYCATCTACYGCAGGCATCTTCAGAGATCTGAGGATGCCTGKCARAGATGCAGGAGAAARGRCAGYAGAGAATMRTTCTAGAACATGGCCATACAGCCCGAAAAACCTACAACAACCTTTCKGTATTCWTGTATTTTATTCCAAAKGATAAGCTAGGTKCTTGTTTTTAAACAAAGGGATTTACTGTTAATAGRGATRYTCATWAGTTCTATTATATCAATGGCAAGATAGAATGTTGAAATTTTGAATTGGTTAAAAAAAGTATGCATAAGTTATGTGCAAAKATGATGCACTGGATTGATTAAAATCTGTAAAAGAGAGCCATTGCACTTAAGGSATGAGAGATAAAGTATGCATAAGTCATGTGCAAACATGTTGCAAAGTCTATCACAAATATGAACYTGCAATGAGGTATTTCATTCACCTCTGTTTTTAATGAAGTTACATAGCTGGGATAATAATAACATTTACCCAGATGCTTCTTTGAGTCAAGCCAGTAGTTCTTCTAAGCCAAAACTGCCCCATTTAATAGACAGTGAATTTTCATGACCCTTCACYTGAAAGCTATTAGTTRCAGAAATTAAATTAGGGATCCTATATGTTCAACAACTTTCTATYTATCTTATATAATTGGATTGCAATTTCTTTTCTAAAGGGAAAATCAAAGTGCCATCTGCTATGAGCTACCTTAAYWTATTACAGTCTGCCACTCAGTTGACATTTGTATTGGAGAGGGGAAAAGATCAGGTTCCAAGGAGTGCTGAATGGAAAGCCCATAAACCAATGGGTACAATGCTAAATGCAGTGGCTATAAGCAGCATACATCACTCCAATGAGAATTCCACTCTTCTGTTTCATTACTCCAAAGATTCTCATTGTAGAATATAAAATGTGGAGGGAAATAAACATGTCATTTTTTAAAAGCTGGTAAAATACATTTCAGAAGAAATACAAATTTAAAGTCAGGTGCTATGATGATTATATGTCTCAAAGATGGCCACTTTGTAAACATTGTCCTCTTTGTGTACTGTAGTAAAAGTACCTCAATGTCCCAGTTTCTACGGCCTCTTCAAAATTGTTCCTAATAAATAATAAATATTAGATAATTCATATATCAGCAAAAAGAAAAACCCCACTATACATCAAGGCTAGTAGATACTATATCTCTTTCTTTTCAAATTAAAACTATAAAACAACCTATTTCAGCACTGTTACTTGTATTTTGGGTTTTTTCTTCCTTTTTTATCGTAGCTCATGTATTGGCTTAGTATTAAAGACCAAAGACTGATATTTCTGTTACATACGACACAAGAAAACTGCACTTTCAGCTCCTCACTGCTGGAATGATGAGACTGATGCATGGTTAATTTCTACATGAAAGAGTAACATGTTTTAGATCTGCCAAGTATTTTGTGCTTTCAGCATTTCCCATTACTATTTTGTTTTAAAGAAAATTGAGTGCGGGGTATTGAGCACCGATTTTTTCCCCATTTATAGTTGATATATGAACATGAGAAGAAATGTGAGTTGAAAATGTGCCATAATATCTTTGCTTCAGTTAATTGTTCAGTTATGGATAGGATCTTACATTTTCTCTCCATGAATGGACTGAGTTTCAGTAACTTCCATGAGCAGAACTCTGCTTTTGAATGGATGTTTTATGAGGCAAAACAGGAGTCTGAGTCTAAATTTCTCCCTCCCCTCCCCTGTGACCTGGCTGTCTCAGAGATTTAAAGAACAACAGAAAGATTATAAAACGAGCATTCAGTGGTTAAGATGATGCAAGAAAGAAAGATTATCTAATGATCGTATGGGAAAATACTTCTAATGGCCAGTTCTTAGTTTAATGTATTGTCAAAGGCTTTCATGACCAGAATCACTGGGTGGTTGTAGGTTTTTCGGGCTGCATGGTCATGTTCTAGAAGCATTCTCTCCTGATGTTTCACCTGCAACCTCTGAGGATGCCTGCCATAGATGCAGGCGAAACGTCAGGAGAGAATGCTCTAGAACATGGCCAGACAGCCCAAAAAACCTATAACATTCCCTTTCTTTCTTTTTACCCGCTTTCCTAATGTCATGCTGTCTAGAAATTGTGGGCATTGTGATCAAATACATCTGGAAAGTCATGAGATAAGAAAGTTACATTAGCATATCCATATTTTTTACAACTTATCTAAGTATCAAATAAACCACCCACAAATAGACCACCTTGATATGTACCCATTCACTACATTGTAACTGCAAAGTTCTTTAAAATTCAAAGGTCCAATGGTTTTTTCCCCCAGGGTCTCTTAATTTCTTGGATTTGTTTGACTACTTTCATGTTAATGTTTTTCTTCTGTATATAGATATATAAAAGAGATGGAACTATTTTCTTACACACTCTATGCAATATGTTTGTAAAATTGCAATATTACCAAATTACAAAAGCTGTGCTTTTGTACTCTCTTGCTTTATGTGAAACAGATCTTTTTTCTATTTAAATGGATTGATTGTCTTATAAACTGTAGATAACCTATTAATTCACAAGCAGTATATGAATATCTTGGATTTTTGTTGTCATTTTCTTTCAATTAAAAGCAGCAAGGTTTTGGAAACTGGAATCAACCCTTATCAGAAAGGGTATGTCTGAATATTTGATTATACAATTTAATATTTCTCATTTTTCCTTGGATATGAGTATAGATCTTTCAACAAGTGCCAAAGGAGATAATAATCTTCTAAATCCCAAATGAAATTCATAACTATATGCCAGACCTGACATTCTGTAGAAAAAAAATGTAGTTCTAAGTAGGCAATCCAATGGACATGTTTCTAAAAAGCTTGGTTTTCATTTGAAGAAACAATTTGCTTACAATGATAATGAAGCATTATTATATGAATTTATAGGACAAAATGGAATTTTATTGGCCTTTTAGGTCAACTGACCAGTGAAGTAGAAATTATCGTACTGACCAAATACAGGAACAGTATATCAAAAACAGGGAAGACAGCAGGGTGGCATCCATTTCTTCTGGATTTCATCTTTGTTGATATCGAAGATAAGTTATCTAGGTTTCATTGTCTAGAACAGTGGTTCTCAACCTGTGGGTCCCCAAATGTTTTGGCCTTCACCTCCCAGAAATCCTAACAGCTGGTAAACTGGGAGTTGTAGGGGATCCATAGGGTGAGAACCACTGGTCTAGATCCTCAAAATTCCAGGAGTTAGAACACAAACGGTAACATTGTAATCCCTGAAAATGCCACTGTTTAACTAACGCAGTGGCATTTTCAGAACTTGCAAAGTTACTTTTGGTGCTCTAACTCCTGGAATTCTGGAAGTTTCAGTTCAAAAAATGATTTTTTTCTCAATTCTAGGAACCTTCTATTATCTATTTTGGCTATAATTCAAACTATACCAATAATTCTCTGTGCCCCAGAATTTAGTTCAGATTTCATTTTTTGCCACTAGCCCTTTTAGTAATTTACATAATACATGACAGGAGGTGTGGGGTTTCTTACAATAAATATAGTTTAGACATAACATTGAAATCTGCCTAAATAGGATTCTAGTCTAAATAGTTAAGACTCATTCAATACATTGCTGAAATAAGTTCTTTTGCGTTCCTTTTTTACAGAGTGGATCTCACTCACAAAGTAGTAAAATCTAGTATGAAGTTAGATTTGTAAAAATACAAATAATAAAAAAAGAATTCGAAATGGAAGACCAAAGCAAAAAAATATGTAAGTAATCGAAAAGGCCATAACTGGGGAAAAAATCCTGAGAACTGGGGGCCAAAATGTAAGTTATGGGGATGGCCCTCCAATTATGTAATACTAATGCATTGATACATTAAGCATCAAGCACAGCTGCTCAAAGAACCAAGTTCAACAAGAAGCATAGTGTTTATGCTTCTCCTTGAGTACTAGAGCCAAGAAGCCCACCCACCCTTCAGATATATAAACCCTTAGGCAAAGGGTCTTCATCTATATGCCAAAGTCTTCATCTATATATCAGTTTCCCAAACTCTGATATTCTAAGTGTTTTGGACTTCAGATTGAAAGTTGAGGCTTCTGGAAGTGGAAGTCCATAACACCTCAAGGACTAAAGTGTAGGAATCACACTCTGTACCAAAAAGACCATAAAGATGGTACGAGGCAAATCTCTTTTGAAACCCTTGCTCGTAATCTTTATTCAGACTGTGTCGAAATCTGTAATAGCTTATTCTTCAAATGCTTGTATGCAGAGCCATGTCTTTAATTTTTTTCTGAAAGCCAGAAGAGAAGGGGCCTCCCTGATGTTGGTGGGGAGGGAGTTCCACAGACGTGAGGCCACTACTGAGAAGACCCTGTCTCTACTCACTTGTGAAGGTGGTAGGACCAAGAGAGAGCCTCTTGTTGGCTCATAGGGGGAGATACGTTTTTACAGATACATTGGACAAAAACCATTTAGGGCTTTATAGCCAAGACCTGCAATTTGAATTGATCTCAGTAGCTGACTGGCAGCCAGTGGAGTAGTATGCTCCCCTTACGCCACCCTAGTTAGAAATCTGGCTGCTGCCCGTTGGACTAAATGAAGCTTCCAGGCCGTCTTCAAAGGCAACCTCATGTAGAGTGTGTTGCAGTAGTCTATACAAGAAGAGCATGGGCCACTGTGGCCAAGACTGAGTTCCCAAGGTACGAGTGCAATTCCCAAGGTACCAGTTGGCGCACATCCATCTTTGTAATTCAGTAATAGTGTCTCTGCTATGTAGTTTATTTTGAATTAAATCTATATAGATTCTGATGATAATCTTGAAAAAAAAGAATGGTCAGTTTATCTGGATCTCTCCATAATGATTAATTTGATTGTGTTGCGGTGGCAGATAACAATGGATTTGTCTCCCTCCCTCCCTTCCTTCCTTCCCTCATTCCTTCCATCTTCTGTGCATATTTTTAGTATATCAGTTAGATTCCAAAAGCTGGTTCTACCTAGCATTGTGCTAAAATGTCTCTTATAGACACAATCCCTCAC